AGTTTGTCATGCTGTCCAAATATCATATGTATTTTGGTAAGAGTTCAGTGTTCTCAAAAAGTCTCAAACATATGTTATAAAAGATTATCACAGACTTAGGAAGAATTCATTACATAAAAAACATCTTCTGTAACTATAATAACAATATGCAAGTTTCACTTATTACAGCTAAGCTGTATTGTTCATACATTTACTGTCAAATAAGCTATGCTGGACATCAGCACTAGCTAATCAGAATGCAACTAACTCATGTATTCTGCGCTAAGATTGAGAAATCTACAATGGGCTCCACTTGGATAAATCTTCTGCCATCTCAGACACACAGGGAAAAGGGGAACTATAAAATAACACTTAAAGCTTCATGAAAAAATCATAGACAGAATGAAGAAACATGAGGATGCAGTTCATCCATCTGCTACGAAGACTTAAAGATAATTGGTACACATTTAACTGAAGAACTATTACACATCAACCTTTTGTAACAGACAAACAACAGACATTTCCTTAAATCCATTGCAAGCCCCTACAACAACTTTCCATTAAGCTTATGTGCAATCAAATGCCCATGATTAGTGAGTTTTGAAAAAAAAATGCCGCAGAGGTAAACAGTCACCACACATTTTCATATTTGCTTTCATACTCTGTCACTTTATCTAGAAGCTCTGGGAATGACACTGTTAATGTTGTCCATTGATACAAGAACTTACCACTTGTCCATTTTGAGGATTTTTATGAGCATATGGAGGTCCTCGGATGTGATTCCACATTTGTCCAGAAGTCATTGCAAAGACAACACACTGAGAAACAAGCAGAAATAAAATGTTAATTTACACCACGCCCAGGAAATATTTTTTTCTTTTTTAAAATATTCTTGTATCATTGTTATTTACAGAGGAGGAAGGAAATGAGGGGAAGGATACGTTAGATGAGACTGGCATGTCCTAACTTTAGAAAGGAAATCCTAGCTTGTGGAAATGGTTTTTACAGTCTGCCTGTTGATTTATATCCACTATCATAAAAACAGCCTTCTTAGGTAAGCAAAAATGTGACTTAATTTCATCATGAAAACAATACAGGTTTATTCCCTGCTGGCCTCCTTAAATGTTTAATTTGATTTTCATCCAATATGAAAAATTACAGTGATAAAAGAAAATATTTGGGGGGGGGAAACTAGTTTGTTTTTAAGTAAAGACTAATCCTCTTTTCAGATTAATATAATATGGCAGGTGTACATTACACCCTCTCTCAGAAGCCCAAGATGTAATGGAGATTAATGTCAAGTAGCAGCCAGCCAGCATTAGGAGATGCACCTTTCACATGACCCAAGCTTAGAAATGAAAGTAGAGGAAAATAATTCTCCAATCATTGTTACAACCATATGCCACCACAAATACCAATCTGGCTTCCACATTTCACCACTGGTAAACAAGATAATGGTAAAGAGAAGTTAGCTACTTGCAGCTATTTCTTAGAGCACAATTGCTTATAAGATTAGGGGGGGGAAATCCATCCAATACTGTGAGAACATAATTTAGAAGGAGGGGCCATTAATTGCATGCCACATTAAAGCACAATCTTAGCTGAAAAGCAAAGATTACGTTTATTTTATTCATCTTTTATTTTATATGCAACTCAAAAAAATAATACAAATATGCTAGTTGCTATAAAAACCACAGCCATGTAGCCATAAAAAGGGGGGGGAGGGAATCCAAAATCTGTTTGAGGTAAAATCTTTATTAAATCAACTTGGTGTTACAAAATGGCATGCTCATTTTCAAGTCTCAAGAACTCCCCATCAGGTGAGATAATTAATAAGAAGCAGGAAAAAGGCGTGTGGGAGGGAATCGGAGGGAATAAATGCGGCTGCTATTCAACCTGTGTCTGTATCAGTCACAGTCTCAAACAGAAAGTAGGAGATGATTTCTGCAGACCTGTAAATCTGACCCTAAATTAATCCTGATGTTAGATTACATACCTTAATGCCTACAAAAAAGATGAGTAACTTTTAATGGTCCTACTGAAACAGGTTACCATCTGGAGTCTCAAAGTGGCTAACTAGAAACTTCCAGAAAAAACATAGCAACTGGCTTTCACAGACATCCTGGACCTAAACACAAATTTTTTATTCAGTCATCAGGATTATCTGTTGAAAGAAGTACCATATCTGCACAGCAAAGAAATCCAGATACGCAGTAGTTAGAAGCAAAGTGTTTTTCTGTATCCCTTTGCTTCGTCCTACAGTTGGTCTGGATTTTTAGACCCCAAATATAGCCATTCTACCTTGTATAGTTAATCCCTTCTTAAGGTTATTTAACATGATGGTCACTATATATTACATGCACTAAATTAAATAGAATATAACTTGCTCAAAGAAATACTGTGCTTCAAACCATGTGTTGTAATTTTAAAGAATATGTTGAGTTCTCCACACATCATTCTTTTACTTCTATCAAAACAATTCATAACATTTCAATATTTGTATTTCAAGTTCATCAAAATGGACTAAACATTCTAAAACAAAGTCCAAGCCCATTAAACCTATCATTTTTTTACAATATTAAAAAAGTATGCATAAAATCTACACCCAATAGAATAGCAATATGAGTTAGGTTATACATTCTTTTCAATTTATTTCACATCCAACAACCAAACTAACACTGAGATATTTAAAAAACACATCTCATGAGGATTTTGTTCTGACCAAAAAGGAAGTTAGGCACCACTCATATCCATGAATTCATATTCATGAGTTAAGGGAAAGAGAAAGTTTCGCTGGGAAATGTATTCATCCTTATTTATTCATTTGATTTATTATCCACTTTTTATAATTAAGTCATCCCCAATCAGAGCACAATATAATATAATAAACTATATAACCATGAATATTAATACAAGTGGAAAAGAAGAACAGAAAAGGGCAGGTAATGCAGCAGAGCAGATTCAGTCAAAAGCTTGTTTGAACAAGTGGGTGGAAATGTACAGACCAAGCCATTTTCTATATATGTCTAGGGAAGAGGCAAAAAAAAAAAAAAAAGTGTCCCCAAACTGTCCCTTAAAGCCAAGTGCTATTGAATGGGAATGGACTTATGTTTCTCAAGCATCTATCAGCCCCAAACCAAATTTACAGTAGTGTCTTTAGTCTCTACTTTAGCAAACCTAAAATATTGTACATACACAGGATAATTCCAGGCCCAGCAGGGAGATCATGCAACTTGAGTGTACGGCTTTCTGAAGCTGCAGAAAACATCTACATTTCAGCTCCTATGACTGAGCAGTTTCAACAACTATGGGCCTATTGTGTGATAGTCCATTTGAAAAAAATCAGTTTCTGGGCCTTCTTGCTATTTTAATGCATTATCTATTAATAAGGAACAAGCTAGCATGTTATTAATGTGAAAGCTAGCAGACAGCATTAATAAACCATCTAATTCACATGCAACCTGGAGGTAAAACGAACTCATGCCATTATACAAGTTCCCTACATCTAGAACTGGATGATTACAGAATGCTTGGGAATCTGGGTTTACAGAGAACACTGGTCTTCATTGTAGTTTCCCCTGGGCGGTTTTTGTTTTTAGAAGGCTAGGAAACATAGCTCATTTTATTTTCACTTTCTTATTGTTTCACAGTCTTTAAGATTCAGTTCCATTTCTTCATTCATGTTATTACATATTTGAGGCATCTCAAATTCACACACTATATGGTCTACAAGAGCGCAATTCCCTCTATGAAACGCATCCTAAAGGGATATTTTTCTGTACTCCATTACACAAATAACTTCCTATTTATGGAACATATCAGCCTTTCTATATTAGTAAAGTTTTAATTACTGAATCATGATATACCGTATTGCAGTTGTTCAATTTTTTACCCTTTGAATACTCTGCATTCAAATGGACTGAAGCATTAATATCCAATTTATTTTCTAAAGAAATATGCTAACTTTTCCCCTCTCTCTGAAAAAATTCTGATCCCATGCTTCCTCCAAGAACAAATTATAATATATAAACCTGCTCCATTCAATTCTAAACCAGGCAGAAGTAGATAGCTAAAAATACGATTGTATGACTGATCAGTGGGTCGGAACCATGCTCTGACATGTATAGCCAATATTCAGACTCTTTGTTATCTGGAGGGTATTTATTTATTTTGTTTTAAAAGCCTTATATAGCTGGGCAGCACAGAAAACAGTACAAACAACTACACCCCACCCCCAAACAATACAAATAAAAAGTCTATAAACTCTGTAAAAATTCATGGCACACTATACTCATGGCACTATATATACTGGGTCTATACTCTCCCATATATCCACATACCATCTTAGTGGGCTCCAGACTCATCCTACCCCAATGCTTGTGGTTAGAATGAGGCTGCAGCCCAGTGTAATGGTTATACCAACACTGATAAGCATTGTTACACTTCTGCTAACATTTTTGGTAACCTCAATATCAAAATATGTGCCACCACAAGGAAGTAATGTCAAATTGCTATGACCTATCTGAATTAAATACATTCTGAAAACACAGATCGTACTTACTGACTGATGCCTCGTCAATCAGACTTAATATTTTAGAAGCAGAATCATGTTTTATTGATATTATCAGAAAGTGATTGGTTTTAATCTGTCTTTGCTGGAAATAATCATTAATCATTATTATATTATTATATACTAATATAATAAATATAATCATAATCAAGTGGCCATTCCTTGAAGATCATATTAAATCAGCTCTGGGGTCAATTGCTTGTGGTTGATGCTGGTCTTGCTTGCTGATCAGCAAAAGCAACAGCTTCAGCATTAGAGTGGCTGAAGTCAAAGAACTGTGGAGATTTGCTCATCACTTTGCAACCAGCCCTGGTCTGAGACATGTGCAAAATGTTTAAAAGAGGACAATGCGAACAAAGCATCTCTCTTTGAAGTGTTAATGTAACTGTTGAGAAGCTGGTATAGCTGCTTCAAAAACAGCTTGCATGCAGACAACACTTCCATTGGGACCACCAGTCAAGAGAATCACCTCTGCATGCACACAGAGACAGCTGGAGACAGTTTTCTAAGCAGCTGCTAAGCTTGGCAAAGGATACAGCTGCTTTAACACTTCAAAGAGGGATGCTTTGTTTGCACAAACACACTTTGCAATGCTTTGAATGCTCTGCACAACCCTAATAATTACCTAGGTGGAACCTGACCCAGAACTGATCTTCCTGAATAGGTCTGCAGCACAGCAAATTTGTATTTTGCTTCTCAGGTCTGCCAGGCTTTAAAACAATAATTACAATCCTTATGCAGACTTTCACAAAAGCTCAGGAATATCAGGCAGGACATTTTAAATTCTGTGTCAGTGAGTAACAAATTTTGCAGTACTTAAAAGATGTAACACTTACAAAAAAGGAGTTTTTGTAGCATGGGTATCTGCAACAGATGCAAAAGGATGGGATTATTTTGTAGATGTGCATGGAAAGATCAAACAGCAACATGAGATTGAAAAAGAAATGAATATTATGATTTTCAGATGCTGAGGCCTTCTAGATAGTTCTGATATATTTTTTGGACATTTTAAACTTTAGAACCACTGTTACTTTAACAACATCTACCAACAATGCTGGAACCAATTAAAATTAGTTACAGTATTGGTACTCTCCTGACTGCATGCCCTTACTCAACCAATACTGTTTACTGCCCTTGAGAGTAGGCCAGCTGTTCCTGTTATGATTTTGTAATCAATGCTGTCTCTCTCTAAGCTATTTATTGATGCAGTACTTTCTCATTAACATTGCAAGCGAGACTTGAAACTCTGGGATATAGAGAAATGAATTATTTAAATTCAAAACTTTTTTGTTTTTAAGTTGGCATACCAATGCAGCCATTGCCCAACCGGTCTTGTTGTAGATGAATTCCAGGTTGTTTCGCCGCAGGTAGAGCAAACCACCAACTAGCGACACCAAGAGGGCCAGTGCAATAGTTCCTGAGTAATTTGGTGGCCTGAACACTCTGATCTGTGAAATGGGAGGGGGGAATTTGATTAGTATAATTCTACTTCCTGACATCAAAAGAAAAATGCAGCCTTTAAGCAAAATCAACAGCTCACGATGAAACTCATATGCATGAAAATCAATCAAGCGATCTAGTACAATTGTATTTTCTGTTATGAAAAAAATAACAGAATATGTTTCCTGGAAACATAAAGCCAATATGAAGAGAAGGAACATATACACCCACTTAAATCCAAATAGAAACCATTACTGGCTAACACTGTGCTCTATGAAATAAAACAATATGAATAAATAATTTGCCCTTTGTTAATTAAATCAAATCAATCTTAACATCTTACTTTAAAGAGGAGTTCTATAAAGTTGCAGAAAATCCACAGTCTGGGGTTCTATAATTTGACAGTGAACTGAGGGAGGGAGGGAGGGAGGGTGGGTCTTGTATTTAGTGAGTCAGTGTGCAATGAACTTACCATTGGACTTTTATTTGATACCTCCCTCTAATCACACCTAGAAGCTCAGAAATGTAATACGCCAGGCATACAGAATTCTACTTTTGCACTGGCTGTGACCAATAGGACCCTTTGTAATGTGGCCTGATAAAACAGAAACTGTCACTCTGTATCAAAACTGATCCCATTTATGTTGCATTAGCCACAACTAGAACAGAAAGCCCTGGGCTACCTTCAAGTATATAGTAAAATACTAACATAATAGCATGCAGTCTTCATTCTCATTACTACTGTAACTGGCTGAAGAAAAGAATCTCAATGTAGAATGTATCAGGTTGGGACATGGTGAATACTACCCTACATAATGTAGTCATTGCTGGCACTAGCACTGTATTTAGATGGCAGCAAGGGCTCATGTATCTTTTTATAGAGAAAGTTTTTGTTTAGTTCTGTGACCACTGTGTCCTCTGACCTCTAACACAAGGTTGGAGAATCTATGCACCCACTCAATGTAAGTCCAGTAGTTCCGGTCAGATGGTTCAAAGACTGCATACAGATAACACATCCCAAGTTAAACACATATTGTAACACATGGCCCCCTCCATCATAACAGAAATCAAAGACAAAGGTATACTTGAGAGAATATGCTCAAGATAATTGGGTGAAGCATCCATTGTGGGTTCCGTGAGTGAGGTAATGATCAAGCTGACAAAAGAACAGCCATGGAAGGAGAAGAAGTTGAATAAATTTCAACTGGGAAGGGTTTTTTTTTAACTTTCCTGTAAAACAGAATGGAATCCAACAACAGAACAAGAGTTCTTCTGCAACTCTTCTTGATGAATTATGTCCCAAATCTTTTAGGAATACAGAATAGGAATCATTGGATAAGTGAACTCAAGGTCCCCTTCCACCCTGATCTCCTCACCAAAAGATGTGAAAAAAATCCCTCTTCATTTGATTATTAATATTATTCATAGCAGATGAATTCCAAATCTGCTGTTGGTTGGGAATTATAAGAGATGGAATCAACATTATCTGGCAAGCTCCAAATGCTGGAAATGTGATCTCAATAACTTTGTGCAGTGCTCTTGCTACTATATCTGTATATAGTTAAATAACGTTGTTCAGTGTATTTACCCAACTGCTCCCTTATAGCATTAAAAAGTCAGACTTCTGGAGTTATTACTTGTAATAAGTAATATTTCAAGTGGATGCATACATTAATCACATAATTGGTATGCTACCATTCCTCATGTTTGTTAGGAAACAGTGAGATTAATATTTTAGCTATGCAAAACAAGTCTGAAATACATCATTATTACTATTATTATTATTATTTTGTCTTTTGCGTTACTACAGAGTGATGGAAGGGCACTGTTGGTCCTTTTATTATTTTAGTCCTTTTTTGGGAGGGGAACCATTTGAAGGGTGAACCCCAATTCCTAGATCAATTTGTGACAGAACCTAGAAGATTAAATGTGGGTCAGCCTTTTTCTTTTGTTAAGTGACTTACGTGAACATCCGTTCTGTCAGCAATCCATTTAGCTAACTGTTCGGCAGCAAATCCAATTCTCTGTAGGTCAAACGTGTCTGCTCTCTTGGGCTTACCTTTTGGGGGGAAATGCATGAACGTTGGAGCAGAGTTCATATTGAGCTGAAACAGACAACCAAGATGCCATCAAATATTAAATAAACATGACAGTTCTTTGCCTTTATCAGTCTCTTTGACAACCATTACGTAAGTCATAATATGATACAGAAAACCTAACTAGCTGGTGTTTAAAAAGCTACTAACCTTCCAGCTATGATACTAGGATAATAAAACCAAATACCTTATAGGGCCCCAGTAAAAACTGCTGACATGTTAAAATTTCAGAAATTTTGAATATCCAAAAGTGCTAAATAAATGCTAAATAGCTGTGTAAAATCTAATGGGGTATTTTTAGTGAGAGAACTGGTTCTGTAAGAGAAAACAAGAGGTGGTCAATTTCTGCTTTCTGTCACCTCAGCATCTGCTCTGGAGCAACATTCATTCAATGTGATTGCTTTCCACTTCTGAAGTAAAGTATCATATTTATTTGCATTAATAGCAGACCAAAATAAATGTCGATAAAGTTATACTGAAATTTGAGAGAAAGGCTACCTAGGACCCTGTGCAAACTAAAATTTGGAACAAAATTGCCTATAATGATATATACATGCATAGCTGCTTTCATTAACTAGGATTATATGTTTGCTACACAACTGAATTACATTACATAAATATATTATTTAAATATTGCAAATTCAAATTATCTATAATAATCAGGTAAATGCTAAATAATTGGATTTATTCCTAGTACAACATATTCTGTTCCTTCACTGAATATTTGTTGACAGCCCAATATGGAATAAAATAGCAATATGAGACACTATGAAACACTTTTTTTGGTCAAATGTGATATCTCAGATGACAGTGTGTGGACTTACTGACTGAAACCACAAGCTGTTTTGAGAATCTAAGACAACTGAAAGGCTTTTTTTAAAAAAAATTATTCAGATAAAAGAACTTGTACTTGCACAAACTCAATTATGCTAGGCTCGGGGAAGGAGGTGTGGGGAGGGGGGCGCAGCTCTCTCAGATACAGGATGGCTGTAGATAACATATTTCCTGCATCTCTCCCTTTTCCATAAGATACACTTTCCCTTACTTGCAGCATAATGTCATCACATTATCTGTCCTCTCTATAGTAGCCAATGAGGTAGAAGGAGAAACTTGTGTGTATTCCCTTGTCTACTACAAACTGGTTTTTTGTACTAAACCTGGTAATTTATTTAAAACATCTGTATTCCACATTTTTGCCATAAGGTACCCAACTCATCTAACAAAAATAAACCAGTGAAGTAGAGATTTTAAGAAACAGAAACATCAGAGTCTGTTCTACCAAGCCAGAAAAGCAATGGGGAAAATCCAAGTCTCACTTTAAATTACAGAGCAACCAACATTGGAGCCAGCTGAGGGAGAGATAGAGAGATGGCATTGTAGAGGGACCATGAATAGGCTTTCTCTCACAAAGCCTTACCACTTAGGCAGATTTATGTACAAGGAAATAGAGCTTCAGGCACTCTGGACTCAAACCAAGCTGTTAATATCTTATGCTATTTTAATCTAATCATTTTTCTTACATATTACATCCCACCCCATTCTCCAGAAAGCTAAATCTATCTCTCAGGATCTTTTTTATTCTCTAGGTTCTCCTGGAACAAAACAACGATCAAACACTTCTGATGATTCATATCATGGTTTAGATGGCTGGGAAATAACTTATAGCCAACGACCATCTTCCTTCCCATATCTTCCCATCTTTTCTTTTTGCTCGTCTTACATAAGAAAGATAGCCTGAGCAACATTTGAGGACAACCACAAAAACATTCAGGCCAAGATTCTTTGTGTGGGAGGGAAGAGCAGGGGACAGCCAGGGATTTTAAGAGCTGTGGATACAAATATCAAGGTACATAATTTAATATTCCCATTCCAAAAATGCCTCCTTCCCCCCAAAAGGGGGAAGGGAATAATTGTTGGCCCATCCATTCTGGAAGCCTTAAAATGCAGCCCCTGCAGTCATATGAAGTTCCCTCCCTTTTTGCACCTTGTCTTAGGGGAAAAAAGAGTTCCATATTATGTATGACTTGGTGAATAGATGTGGATGTGGATTCAATTCAAATTAAACTCACCTTGGGCAGAAAAGGGGAAAGCTAGTCAAACATTCACAATGGCTTACTCTGGAGAATCTAAAGCCTGGATTAGATAAATGTTGGAGCTGGGTCAGAAAGGGGAAACATTAGGATTTTATAAGCAGGGGAAACAAGTGACGTGTGATGCTTATCTTTGGCGCCAATTAATGTATCATGGTGGAGGTTGTACCCCAATAATCTCAATCAAAAACAGACTGTGCTTGAGCTTAGCCTTTTAAAAATATCTAAATCAGCAAAATATTTTTCAAATGTTCAGAAATAAGGGTTATTAATAAAGTCTCCCTTGAGCTGAATTTGGCTCCTAATGACTTTATACAGAGATTCATGCAGTTTTCTTGGCAACTGTATAGAAGTAGTTTGCCACTGCCTACCTCCAGGACCCTAATTTTGCCTACAGACTTGATATTCCCTGGATATCTTCCATCCAGGTACAACAACAAGGCCCGGGTCTAATGCAACTTAACTTCCAAACACAAGCCACCAGTTAGGTATCACTACCACCCATAGAACAAGAAGTATGACCTGGTTCTCAAAGAAGGGATTTACTTTAAATGCAGTTTTAGCATTCTCCAAGACACACCCTCACCTGCTGGAAAACATCTGCACCTTCATCATAATCAACTAGAGTGAAGAAGAGCTTGTTTGAAAATGCTGAAGAGTAGCGCCATGAGTTAGCCAATACTTGATATTCTTCATTAGCTTGCCTGAAAGTAAAACATAAATGTAACATGTTCAGTTTCTTAGCAAGTATAACAGCTTGAATTATACAGGTTTCTCTAACAAAAAAGTTATCTATATTATTTTCTGCAAAATCCTGCGAAACTGTTTTAGCCAAATCAAAATCACCCCACATTTAACAAGTGGTGATAAGAAAGACAAAAAAGCCTGGATAGTGGACACTGCAATACTTGGGGACAGCAGAATAGAAGAGAAAGGAGAAAATCACAAACTACAAAGACCTGCAAATAGAAATAGAACAGCTGTGGCAAAAGAAAGCAAAGACAGTACCAATAGTATCTTAGGTGCAATCCCAAAACATCTGGAGTACCACTTGAACACCATTGGCATTGATAAAAACACCATCAGTCCATTGCAAAGGCAGCTTTACTTAGAACAGCTTATATATTGCGATGATACCTTTAACACCATCAAACAATAACACCTGCCTATCCCAGGTCCTTGGGAAGGACTCGATAGAAGAATAAAAATGCCAAATCCGGTCTAAACATTTGGCTGTGTGACCAACAACAACAACAATAGAGGCAAAAATACATTCCATAATATATAATGTATCTGAACATTTTCATTCATATGCTTACAAGAAAAAAAAGCAGTAACTGTGATTATACATGTAAATAACAATCCTGTACAAAATTATGATGTCCATTTCCCCCCATATTTGTGTATATCCTTTTTCTCTCTCCTTCTGCAAGTGTGTCAGCGATAGTGAGAGGGAATGAAAAAATGACAAGAGAAAGAAATGGATCACTCATAATTCTATGACTCAGAGCCTTTGGTTAACATGGACTATCCATTTATCAGTCTCAGCAATTTCCCCCTGTAAAATAAGAAGACTGTCTTTTAGATTGGCCTCTAAAGCTGCAATCCTATATCCATTTGCCTGGCTGTATGCCCTGGTTTTATATCTAATAGATAAGTAGGTAGGTATATAGGTAGGTAGGTATGTAGAAACAGTTGGGTGTAATGGTTAAGGCACCAAGCTAGAAACCAGGAGACCATGACTTCTAGTCCTGCCTCAGACACAAAGTCATCTGGGTGACCTTGGGCTAGTCACACATTCCCAGTCCTAGGAAGCAGGCAATGACAAACTACGTCTGAAAAACCTTGCCAAGAAAACTGCAGGGACTAGTCCAGGCAGTTGCTAGGAGTAACAAACTGACTCAAAGCACACAGACACACAAGAAGGAAGAAAGACAGACAGACAAATAGAAAGAAAATTGCAGTGTAAAATATATATTGGCTCAATTCCTTAACAATGTGATCCTTATTATCATGTTGTATATTTTCAGACATCTGGAAATATTTCCCCTGCATTTTTTTTCTTCCTAGCATCTTTCCCACAGGTGCAGGGTCTGCTTTTTTTGGGGGGGGGATCAACCAAACTGATGGTTGATCCATTGCTTACAATGTCATGGACTGAGAGAAAGTGACTGGCCCAAAGTCACCCAGCTGGCTTTCATGCCTAAGGCAGGATTAGAACTCAGAGTCTCCTGGTTTCTAGCCTGGAGTCTTAACCATTAGACCAAGCTGGCTCTTTATTTTCCCTGCATATACTTGGATTAGTTATTTCTTTTCATTCTCTCAACATAACAGCATTCACATGCTTACAGGTTTGCTAGCCTCCATCCTATAGCTCATCAAATTCTGACTTTCTAGCTTCTTCATAGAGTCCTGTAGTTTAACCTGTGCAGTACTGGAGAATGTGCATTCTTCTTCCATGCTAGCTATAGACAGGAGGGTGTCTTAAGCTGAATTGCAATGGTTTGCACTGCTGTATGTTGCATACAAAAGTTTCAGTTTGTCCTTCATAGCTCCCACTTCTCCATCATACAGAGCCATGTGCTTCCTGTGATTTATTTCAAATATATTGTGGATTCTAGGACACACTGGAGAGTTTGGTGAATGGGGTACCTTCTTTGCAGATTCCTGTACAGCCAATGCACAATTCTGCATGCTAGTAAAATAAACACCTGAGGACAGTCCTCTCCAACCTGAAAGTCTCCAGATGTGTTAGTATCCCCCACCCCACATTTCATGTCCACTGTTGGCCATGCTGGCTGGGAATTCTGGAAATTGCATCCAACACATCTGGAAGTTTGGTAGGGTACTTGAGGATGATTCTTCACATTTATGTTCAGTTTGGGTATGCAAATTGACTCTTGCACTCTGCAGCCTGAATGAAACAGTTGACTACTGTAAAGATTTATTGTTATAGTAACTTTAAAAAAAAGATATACGCTTAATGAAATCAGCCCTCAATGCAGAATTACCCTTCTAATTAATTTGTCTTTTAATCTTTATTTTCCTGTTATTTAACTTAAATTCTGAACCATTATAAAAAGACACTGGGAGTTGTATTCCTCATATTGTTCATAATTGTATGCGTGTCCATGCCAATTACAAAATTAACTGAGATACAGGAGTGGTCTGCATGAAGTTCTATGTCCTGGGGGGGGGGGACAAAAACCAAGTGCAATTAGGTCTACAGTGGGGCCCAGAAAACCTTCATCCACATATTTATTTATTTTTAGAATACTATACTATTCTAAATTTCAGGGTTTTGTTTTGTTTTTTAAACTGATCCATGAAAGCTGCTGCTGAGTGAGTAAGTGGAAAGGACAGAACTGGAAAATCTTGCTCCATACCATTAACAAAATTATACTAATTTAGTGACTGAGATTTTTTTAAAAAATAACAGAGTATCTAAAACTAAATTGTCTTTGGGGATCTATGTGTTTTTAGTCATGTTTACTTAAAAGAGAAGCATTAAGGGATCCGATTAACTTTCATCTCGTTACTGTATTGATCTTTAACAAATATTCAAATACCACTATCTGCCTATGAGAGGAATGCAAAGAGAAAGCATGGTCATACACTTGTATTCATCCAGTTTAAGTAACTCAAATCTTGGCACAACTGCTACTCAAATAACAAAAAAGAAAAAAAATCTCTCAGCGCTGTCTTGCTTTTAGTACCCTGAAAGGTCACAGAGTGTTGCATAATCACTTTGGAAACATCTTTGCAGAAAAGCGATTGTCCATGGAGGGAATAGTACAATCACAGAATGAAGTAATACCATTCTGTATGCACAAGGATACTGGGATAGTATAAAATAACTTTTGTAAGAACATGCAATCCCCCCACTGCCCCCCAATTCTTCATGGGTAATTCTGCACTGGTAAAGATCACATGCATGTTAAATCAAGCCAACAAGCTCCTCCTGAAAACTCTGTTTACGGATGCATAACTGAGACCTCTTCATCACACTCCAAATCAAATCAAAGTTTATTGTGGTCTTGGACCAGTGCAAGGACGATGCTCTATGAAAGTATGGATAGTCTATCTTAAAATGATAGCAACCTAGGATAAAATAAAATTAGAAGTTAAAATAAAATAAAAATACATTAATAAAACTATCTAACTAAACTCTATGGGTGCAATCTAAGGTGCAGCCTATACTAGGTGAAAATATAGTCA